TTTACCACACAACACAATCAATTTAATTGGAGATTAAAAAATTCTTGATAAGTCTAGCCGGGTGGAAGGTCTACTTCGTCCACTTCCTTCCATTTGCCTGTCAAGCAAAACTTATGTCCTTAAAAGAAGTAAAATCATGCTTCTAAAAGCGTTTTAGCATCAGAAAATTTCCGATACATGTACTCCTTAAAAGCTGTAAACCATGCTTTTAAACGTGTTTTAGCATAGAAAAATTATGATTCCTCACAACATGCCACTGGCCAGTATACTTGGTGACTAACGTTTAATCAGTGTTTTTTCTCATTATATTTCGACCTCACGTTTCCATGAATTTTCTATTGATTTATTACTATTCTAACCCAAATTTTTTTAATTACAGTTCTTGTTTCCTGCAATAGAAAAACTCTACTGTCTATGGTTTGCCGTGCACTAACAGCTTCTTGTTTGACTTTGATTTTAGTGGTACTTTGATCACACTCATAGTACAAGGGATGAACATAATTTTGACCAATCAATTAAGAGGCTGTTGGTACCTGGTAGCTTCCCTCAAATTGAGCAGCACTTTTGAAGATCATTATATAATATGCTGCTTAATTATAAGTCATGGGGGTGTGTGAGTTATTTACCAAGAAATACGTTTTCCAAATAATACTCTCACATTTTTGGAGAACTAGTAAAGTGCACGTGCATCGCACGTGGTGATGAATGTTTTTTACCGATTAAATTTAGTAAAATTAATTAATTGCATGAATGAAGTAAAATATAGATCAAATAAGCTTCTAATGTTTTTTTTAAAATAACATAATGATGTCCTAATATAAAAATAATGAAATAACATATTACAACCCCAAGAAAAATACAGTCCCTAATGGAAAAAAAATACTAAATAAATAAATAAGAACCTAATGTATATTATAGATGCATTAGTTATTTTATTTAATTATGTTAGATGATTAGAGAGTGATTTCCTTTCATTTTCGTTTTGACGTTTTCATAAAAAATATGCATACTCGTTGGAGCCCAATACATCAACACTATTGCAAATTTGTCTTAATTCAATTTGGCAAAACATCTACTTTATTCAAACACTTATAAATATATTGGTCAAACATATAGTCAAATCTCATGTCCGTATGATCTTTATAAGGTATTTCTACTAACAGTTCATGAATATCTTTGTAAATTAACCAACGGTGTCATTAAATTGTTGATATTTTTTTTTATCATTGTATAGACAATTTCATTATTATGTCCATACCTACCCTATGGAGGCATTGCTCCACGAAGTGGAAATGAATTTCATCTCCAAATAAAAGTTGACTTTCTAAAAATTTGGTTACATGTATTTCTCTCGAGACGCTAGATTACTTTTTGAAATCATCACATTACATGAAGTACGTACTGTAAAATAATTGTACATATGTTCGAGCAAAATACACAATGAGATTGTAAATAATTCTATAAAAAGGGGGATAATTTCATTCAAACATTCAAGAATGTTTTGATCAAGCTTCGACATTTTCTTTTTCAATGTTATTTATTTAGAAGACAAACGAACTATATAATCTATTGTTTGCAAATCATTGACTTGGTTGGTGCAATTATTTTAGCATTGTTTATTATATATAATATCTTTCACATTCGTTCGAATTTGCAGTACTTATGTGTCTAATAACTTCTTTAATGATTTTATTGTCCAATTTTTTCCCATTATACATAATGCTTAGAAAATTCAAGATAAAGGTTTTTCTTGAACACAAAAAAGAAAAAAAAAAGACAATATTAAGAAGCATATCATTTGTTAAAATATTGAGAAGAGAAGAATTAGAATTCTATTATATTATGATACTTTTAGCCGCTCTATGAACTTTATTATTACCAAGTTATTATTAAAAAATTATAGTGTTACTAATTCATACTTTTAATTTTACTAAAAAAATATACTTTTATATCTTTTACTAATTGTTGTAATTATAGTGTTACTATTATAAATATATCAAATAGAAAAGATATCTTAAGCAATCAATATTTATCTATTTGGCAATATGTCGTCGTATTTAATTTTTTTAAATGATATTCTTTGTTATAATGTGATTTTTATTGGTATATTATGTTTTGTAAGGTTTTGTTGGTTTTTTAAAAATTAACTCTTTTGAGAAAAAAATATTATTTAAAATAGTTGTTCAAGTTTAGTTTAATAAAGGGCACCTTTTAACTAAACTATGTAGTACACAATTTATAGATTTTTAGTAAAATAAAAAAGATATATATTAGTTAACATTATTATTTTTTTCTAAGAAATTTATTATTGTGTTCAAATATTTTAATTCTAGCAATTAAATCTATATATGAATAAAAATAGAATAATGTTATGCTTTTTATATTTTAATAATTACTATTATGTCCATAAATTCATGTCCAAATACATATATTATATCATGTGTTTTTTTTATTATTATTTTTTTTTTTCATCTATCCTACTTGATACTCTACTTTTTCGAATAAGACATTTGAGCAGTTTTATATATCATGCTATTTGTTTCATGTAAATTTTATATAATTATGTTATACTACCTCTTATTTTTTTTAAATGTCATTTTGGCTTTATCAACAATTAACTAAATAAATGACGTTTTGGATTTTTTGTACATATTTTTCCATTATTACTCTCATCTAGCTAATAAATACATTACGTTTTTTCATATATTCACTCTTTATCTTTTTTCTTAAAACATCCATCTCTATCCTCATTACTGAGGGTTATTGTTAGCAAAAAAAAAAATCTTAATTACTGTGCAACTTCTCAAAACTACAATTATTAAAAATAGGAGGGAATATCAAATTTGTTTATTATGACATGTAGTTATGTAATTAGTAATATGAAAATAATATAAATATAAAATTGTAACAAATTTATACTATAATACTTCATATTTAATAATGTATGTTGTGAAATTGAGGATAATACTTCCCATACATTTTTGTTTGTTCCATATATATTTTGGAATATATTTTAATTCAATTCAATCTTATTAAAATAGTTTGCATCTCCTTTATTATTTTTTTTATTTAATGATAAGTTAATATTCTTTTACCTATTTAAATTTATTTTGTTTAGGTTTTATTTTTTAAAGAGTTTTGTCCTTGTTAGAATCCTAATTTATTGAAATATTAAATCGTGATTATATTCATTGAGATACTTAATAGTTATTACAATTTTTTTCATTAAAAATAATATAAATATAAGGACGTTTTTTAATCCGTGCAATTTCTTACAAAATCATTCCTCCTTTTATGTTAGTACAGATATAGATATTTTCTTGATCTATAAAAAATAACCACATGTCTGTTAAAGTGTTCAATCATTTAATAAAAAAGCAACAAGGTCTATTGTCTGTTTTTTCGTAATTGATGAGTCATCGCATACTTTTAATCACACGTCGCATGATAACCCAATAAGTTAACTTATTATGACACAATACATTATCTTATTTATTTTGTAGTTATAGTTATTAATTAATCTATCATGAATAGTATTCTTTATTTTATTCTCTATTTATTAAGTCACAAAAATATTCTCAAATTTTTAAATGCACAATAATAATTATTCATGAAATAATTTCTTATTTAATAAGACACTTATGGCATGATTGGTATGAAGGAATGACATGGGAATGGAATGATCATTCACTTACTCATTGCTTATCCTATTATTGGTATATTTTTTTTTTAAATGAATGACCATTCCAATAGGAATGACAAAACTCATCTCCATGAGATTAGTCATTCCATAGTTAATGAGAGGTTTTATCATCCCCATGTTTGTAGGAATCAATTTTTCAAAAAATAAAAAAAAATAAAAATAACAAATAATAATAAAAAATAAATATATAATATATATTATACATCATGGTTAAATTATATTAAATAAAATTCAAATAAAAAATTTGAAAACTTACTTTTATTTATTGTTTACTTAGATATATTAAATACTTACATAAAAATAATACTAAAAAAAAACATTTATATATAATTTAAAAATATATTATTTTATTTTTATACATCATATTTATTATATATTTATTCATAAATTTAATTTGAATATAGAAAATTATATTCGACAACATATACTTATAGGGGTTTATGTAATGATATATTTGTATTAGTTAATATGTATATGAATACACAATTCAATAATTTATTATATAATATATATGAGAGTAACAATACCAAAATTTATTTATTAAAATATAGTACATTATTTTAACAAATAAAATAATTTTTTCTATAAATATTATTTTTTCTATAAAATAGTGATAAATGAAATAAAGAATTATAATGTCAATTCATTCGGGTCTTATTCCTTCTGCATACCAAACACATCAATGGAAAAACTTGTTTCATTCATTTTCCATATTCGTTCCATTCTTCAATTCATTCTATTCCTATCAAATTTCATTCCATTATACCAATCATGCCATTAAGGTAACATGTCTACCATGAATATTATTCTTTATCCTATTCTCTATTTATTAAGCCACAAAAATATTCTCAAATGTTTATATGCACAATCATAAATATTCAGGAAATAGTTGTCTTACTTAATAAGACACTTAAGTTAACATGAACTTATCTAGAACATCTTTAATATCATGCCCAGACAAATAAGTAACTGAATTATCCAGATATACTATATTGCTGCCCATAAAATTTTGTAATTCGAAAGCAATTGTTCTTTATATATGTGTTATTTAAATATATTTTAAATTTTAATAAATAACATAAATATTATAGTTCACAATTATTTATATTTTTATTTAATATTTTAGTTTTTTTCTTATCCAATTCTCAAACAATATTTCATTATTTATCATAATTTCAAAAACAAGAATTTATTGTCAATTATTTTAGGTAAATATTTTAGATGTTAAAAACCAAAATAAATAATAATTTAAATAATAATAGTTTATTAGTAATATATATATATATATATATTTAAATATGTTTTATGTGAGTGTATAGGAATTTTTTTTTTATTATATACTAATATATGCTTAGAGTCCACATAGATGAATAAAATGGATTAATATATATAAGAAAAATTTGGTGTCTACTTATTAAGAGTTGCATGTAAACATAAATTGAAAAATCTAGTCATGAGAAACAATGCTAAGTTGTCTTATGACTCCATGATATGGATTTGTTTCACTCAAAACAAACACATTTAATTAAAATAATTAGGGTTCGAAAATAGTAGAATTCTTTATAAAGGTTATGTTATAATAGATCACGTATGCTTTTATTTTTTTTTTAATTTATATAAGTTCTTTAATTGTTGTTACAACTTTAACATTAAAATGATGAATTTATGATTAATTATCGTAGGAAATATTTTAGATGTTAATAAATAAAATGAATGATACTTAAAATACTAATTAAAATTATGATAGTTAACAATTATTTAATTTTTTCTTAATTATTTTAGTTTTTTCTTATCCAGTTTTCATACAATATTTCACTATATGTCATAATTTTCAAAATTACAAATTTATTGTCACTTATTTTAGGTAAATATTTTAGATGTTAACAACCCAAACGAATAATAATTAAAATAATATTAGTTTATTTTGAATGTATATATTTTGAAATATGTTTTACGTGAGTGTACAGAAATTATTTTTTCTTTAATCATATATTAATATATGCTTAGAGGCCACTATAGATTATTAGAGTTTATAGAAATTATTTTTCTTTAATCATATATTAATATATTATTAGAGTCCACTATAGATGATTAGAGTTTTAAACTATTAAAATTCTTTATAGCACATCACGTATGCCTCCTTATATAATTAAGTTCTTTATTTGTTATTATCATACATCATTTTTTAATTTACAGGATGAATATTGTTGTATTACTAATTTCATTAAAAATATGTCAAAGTAAGGATTTTTTGGGCAAATCATTATTTTTTACAAAATCACTCGTCCTTTTAGAATAGTATAGATAGATGTGTTTAAGGTAAGTAACACAAATTAAATGGGAATTATCCGTTTATCTAGATGTTTATTATTTTGTTACTCAATTAAATTTCATATGCAATTATTATTATTATTATCCAACAAACCAATGTGTCGAATTCATTTAAATTTGACTACTTATTGAGTTGTTTCAGACCAGTATATCAAAAATCCATCTTTAGCAATTAGGACACTTAACAAATCTGACTCTTGAATCTTAAAAATTCCACCTCAACAAGCTGCAAAGGCACGCCGCCCACGCACAAAATGATG